GAGCTGAATTAGGTCTAAGGCAGTCATTGTGTTTCATGTTTTGTGTACTATGATACAATTCGACAAATGGCATCCTTCGATTGTTCGGTGGCGGATTAAAACAGGCTTTTGGATAAGATATGGGAATAGGAACCCTCCCTCCCTCCCATTCACAATACAAGCGTCCTTGTGCTGAATTTCAGGGGATGTTAGAGTTAAGGTTATGGTTAAGTTTAGGGCTAGGAAGAGGACATACAAATGGTCGTCTTTTCTGGAACCTAGCGCAAGGCTACCTGCACTTGTATTTGTTGCGACTGCGATCATGACTGATCTAGCCGGCATCGATGATGTCCTGTACGGTGCTTCTCCATGTGCGACGATCCCTAGCCGCAGACCTGGACTGTTCGGGCAATTCTCTTTTTCAGCGCCGGAGACCGAATACCGAAGGTCCAAGAACCGCTTCCATGTCCTGACGGACTGAGTCGAGCCAGGTTTTGAGCTGATCCCCTCTTCGACTTTTCCAATTAGGTAATGGTTTCAAGTCGAAGGCAGTAACACCAAGCTCTTGAGGCGGACGACGAAGAGCGTGTCCAAACAACCTCAGTCGTCTTTCCTGTCGCAGCGAGTGCGGACTGTCTCATTTGAGAAGAAGTCGGCGCACTTAACTTGAAGGATGGTCCTCAAGCAGTGGTGGTTAAAAACTTACGGTCTCTGTTCGTCTTCCATGCGCATAGCCCAGCATTCGCATCCGTATAGAAGAACAAACCATACAGATGCACGGTACACGTGATCCTTTGTGGAGATAGAAGTACCGTGTCGGGTCCATAGACACCTTCGAAGGCTGGAAGTGCTAATTGTTTGTTTAGATACACCAACTTCTTAAAGGAAGCCTTGGGTTCAGAAAACGTGAAGAGTCGCTGAAAATTTTGACCAATCAATGTAAATATAATCGTTAGGTAAAACCGTAATCATATCACTTTCCTTAAATTCAAAGAAATTTCCTTTCATCAAATTTATTTATGGATATTTCAGGTATTGGATTACAGCTAGTTTCAGATCGCC